GTTCACTTACCTCCAAGCTGAAACTGCACACTGCATACATTTTCTGTTTTGTTTTATTTTGGGGAACAACTGCCTTCCCCCTTTTCAGCTTGTGGTTTAGTTCATTTACAGGGTTTAAAAACATATGATCCTTTTCATCAATTTTAAGCTACTTTGGTCTTTAATAATATCACCTTACACAATCCCTTTTAGCACTTAATATTAAGTAGGACTTCTTCCTTTGTCTCCGGTCATTTTAAGGAGTTCTGCCTGATAATCTGAGCTGTAAGCAAATCATCCCTAGGTTCTTCCCCCATGTCCTTCTCACAAGTCCAACTTCCATCCCTCCCAGAGTGGCAGCACAGTCTCTCCCAGCAGAACTTCACTCATGCTGGGTGATCAGAAGCTCACCAGGCCCTTTGGAGAAGGAAAGGGGCTCTTTAAACTGCAGTTGACTTCACTACATCTACTAGGAGAGCTAGGAAGAAGGAGGTCCATAATTAGCAATGACAGTCTTTTTCTGTTTCATTATCAGTGATTAGATTATTTTTTTCCAACTTTTTTTTTTTTTTTTTGGTAAATGAAACTCTTGTTAGAAATGCAAGTGCAGGCTGTTGTTGTTTGGGACAGTCCACAAACCTATTTAAAACTTACAATATATAGCTATGAAATCCTTTCTAGTTATTGCAAGTTAAATTGTATCTAAAGAGTTGAACACCATTTCTATCTTCTCATAGAAAGGTTTATCACATGGTCCAAATCTTTTTTGTCTTTTTCTTAGGTATTGATGCATGATGGATTACAGCCCCAGAAATTTCTCTTTATAGTGGGCATCAGGGATCATTCTTGAGTTGGTTGGTTAGTTGGTTGGTTAATTTATAGTTATAAACCACAATTTCATATGTAGATTAAGCAACAAAGCATATAACAAAAATTAAAATATTAAAAAAGTGAAATAAGTGGGTAACTGCTTTATTATATAGGAACTAATATGCTCTAGTCCAATTTGATCTAGCCTTTATCATCTTTCCTTGGGTGCCCTGATTCATGATCTGGGTTTGCCATGCCATTGTTATGCTGATCATGCTCAGGTCTATTCATCTTTTAGGGCCCTTGATGACAAATCATGATGGGAAGTCTTGTTAGCATTTCTTATTGCTTATCACCTCAGTTGGGACTAGATGGAGATTGCAATTTTTGCTTCACTGTTTTTCCCATCCTCTATTGTGTCTCTCCACAATGTCCTCCTCTCACAGCCTCAGAGTCTTGACTGATGACCAATTGATTTGTGATTTTACAGTGAGGGTTTATCATTTCCATTTGATAAGAATTCTGGGTGTTTCTGATGTTGGAAAAGTGCTGCTTTATTGGTTTGTGCCTTAGTTGTTTCTTGTTTAGGTTATTCCTATAGTGTTCTGCAAGAGGTCCTGATTTTCCCTCTGTTCCCTGTTTTTACATTAGAACAGGGCCATTCTGGTCCTTCCACACTATTCTTTTGTCTTGCTGCATTACAAGACTCTTCAGTGGCTATTTGCAACAGAGACTGCTATAAAATACTGGTGCTTATGTGAGAGCCCTCTGGTTGCAACCCCCCAGTATTTGTCTGCCTTTATTTTCCCCCACAATCTCATTCTTCCACTTCTTCTATTCTCTGAGCAGGGCCTTCTTTCTGTTCCTTGCTCCAGGGTTGCAAACCCCAGGTTCTAGAACCTTCAGGGGCCTGGTTCCAAAATTCTGGAATCTGCTCCCTCCTTCCCTATGCCTCTGTAAAAATTTGATCACATTTAGAAGTAGTTCAAAGACCTTTTTATATGACTAGGGGATTAGTGTAGTGCAGTTATCCCATTGTACTCTGATTAATACTGGCAATTCCTTGGTTAAATACCTATTTTATTTTAACTATGGGCGTTTAGATCCTTGGTGGTATCACAGAACATTATTTCACTTGGTTTGTTTTAGTAGTTAATATTTGCTCAGTGGTTTTCATGTGAAGTTGTAAACTAATCTTGTTGGGCGTAATTCTGTAATTACTATGTACCAAGCCTTGGTGTAGGTGTATAATAAAATAATGAAATTATTATTACTATTAGTGTATTAAAATGAGGTCCATAAAAGAAAGATGATGCTCTCTTCATATATTTTTCATGAATTCACAGTTTGTTTGTAAGCTGCCATTGGCTACATTCATCCAACACAGTAAGTGTAGAGGAAATGGAAATGGCCTTGAAGGACAGAAGGATGAGCCACTACCAAGGCAATGGTCAAGCCTGAAAATGTCTAGACAAGCCTCTCCCTAGTTCACATGAAGATAAGGTGAAGGAGGTGGAAGCACATTCAGACTTGCAGGATTCTGTTACAATAATAATAGTTCTGACCGATAAGGCATTGGTTTCTTAGTCTGATCTAGTTGGGCTGACAGTAAGCCACAACCATTAATTATAAACTGCAACGACATAAGCCAAAATCAAAAAAGCTTTATTTTGGCTTAGCATGATGTGCAATCTCAGTGACATGGTTTCTTATATCTTCTACTAAAGCATGCTTCATAAAGCAAGTCTCCAGAAGAATCATTCAGATTCCTCTAAAACAATGTTTTGTTTTGTTTTAAACACAAAAAGAGGTAACATTTCTGATGATCTGCATAGTTGTAGGGAGGAGCCATAAAAATATTAATTTAGATTATTAAACAGACCGTTTGGTGTGGGTTATGTGCTTCTTGCTAGCACAGGATGTCCTTTGGCCATGCTGACCTATATAAGAAACTCGTTATACCTTTGACAAAGCTGGTAAAAGAAAGAGTAGCACTGCCACTGAATTTTACCAGAAGCAAATTTGTTGAGCAGGAAACAAAAAGTCCTTTTTTGGACGAAGCATCTCAACCTTTCATAGGAAATAAAGAGGATTTATATTAAGAGCAGAGATTTAGGCAGGAGCTAAACAAATTCTGTAACTGATCTCACAGTCGACTTTATTCTAGTTTATTGGGAACAGGTAGCCTTCATAAGCCTTCTGGCTTCTTCCAAGTTTGCAACTTGAACATCACGTCATTGTTGAACTTGCATTTTATTCTCTAATGGATTTCAAAATGAATGCAGAGAGGAGGCAGAAGGATTGGGTATGTAGTGAGAGAGACGTTTTTTGTAATTGCTGGCCCTATTCTGGGAAAATTCATATTGTTTTTTTGTGCTTCTGTGCAGGCACACTGCAGGCCGACTAACTATCCTGAGTTTTCTATGTACCTTTGTGATTTTGTCTTCTGCCTACTAGGCAGAAAATATCAAATTGTCGGATTCAGCTAGCAATTTAACTGTTGAGATTAAGCACAAAGTAAAACTCTGTTGCCATCTCACAGGGAGAGAGTAAACAAGACAAAGAAGAAGTTAGCCACTGTGAGAAACAGATCTCTTTCTGGCCAACATGTAGAGCACATTTCTATCTCTTTCATCTCAGATGTAATTCTTCTTTCTGAAATAATGACTTGAAAGTGTGTTTCCTAAACAACCACATTTGGATTATTATCGATGAAACAGTTCTGATGCACTTTTTCTCATGGTTTTCTCTGATGGCCTTCTTCTAGTGATTATGCTTATAATACTAATAAAAAAAAAACACTAACCTAATACATTATACAGTAAATCAGACTGCTGCAGAAAATGGTGTTTCTGTATTAGGTCCTTCTCCATCATATAGCTTCTAGCACAGCTTAGTCATGATGATATCATGTTCTGAAATTTTTAATGATCCCTTTCTCCACCAAACTTGCTGGATGGAGAAAGTCTTTGTAGGAAGGGGGAGTGAGGGCTTTTTTGAAGCCTATCCCTGAGATAGAAGGAAAAAATCCATCTGGCATTGTCAGCTTGAGGGCTGGTTCCAAATAGCTACATTTATCTGCTATTTTTTAGACACCCAATCGTTGGGTGATCCTTTCTTTCTTTCCTGCAAAGAACAATAACGTTTAAAAAGGGTAGGTGGAAGTTTCCTAAAGAGTCCCATCATTTTGAGAAGTTTTCTTTATCATTGTTGTCAGCTGTATCCTGTGGATCATTCTTCAGGCAGTAACACAACAACTGAAAAAGGGATTAGCAACTGATAGACTAAAATCATGAAATGAAACAAGTGTTCCTTATAAGAAGATAGGGTTACTGGGTCTTGTTTTGCAGACCTGTCTACAAGATTGTTTTGTTCCTTGAGGCAGAAGACCTGAGAAGTTCCTCTCCCCCTCACTTTCACTTTATCACTTTATCAACATATTCATCTGGATAGTGCTGACATCCAAAACAATTACTTAAACAGATACTTATATTTTATTCAGTTTTTCAATATGTTGTTCTAGTTGAGATCAAGTTCTTTTCATAGTCAATCTCTCCATCTTATAGGAGGTCATCCAAGTGAGCATATATAACTGTAGGACCATCACCATGTCACTTTCTGTGTCTACTGTTGTAAACATAAAATGTCTCCTGACCGTTTATATTTCCATTTTAATCCTATTTTAATGACATCTTTAAAGTCAGT